AGCAACTTGTCTGTTCCCCTTCCCCTAATTCCCCAGCACTGTTCCCATCCCCCAATTCCCCAATAAAAATCTTAAAAAAAAAAAAATTTAAAATGAGTAATTACAAGGAAAGAACTAAGGATTTAACTTGCTTTTCTTTTTTTCTTGAAAAATTTTATTGGGGAATTGGGGGAGGGGAACAGCATTAGGGAACTGGGAGAAGGGGAACAGACAAGTTGCTGTCCGTTTGTTCTTCAGTCTAGTTGTGGAGGATGTCGCTTCACTGGCTCATGTTGATATTATCATTGCGCTCTTCCCAGGTGAGGCAGTTGTTCGCTGGCCATTGGATGACCGCTCACGGCTGCTCAGGCAGCTCAAGAAAGCTCACACCCACTGCTGGCCAACCACTGCAGCCTATGCCAACGACTTACCGCTGCCCAGCTCCAGGTCGAGCTGTTGTTCACCATCTTAGCTGTAGAGGGCACAGCGTCACTGGCTCTCATGTGGGATCCACGCCGGGGCCCTGCTGCTCAGAGCTGGCATCCCAAACCAACTCCTATCCAATGCGCCACTTGGCCGGCCCTAGCCTGCTTTTCTAGTAGAACCATACGCTGGTGTAGCCCAACAGACTCAGATTATGAGGATCTATTTTTACATAACAATAGACACTGACAAAAGATAAGTGTGACAATCTTAATTTTGCTACCTAGAAAAATGTTAATATTTTTTAGAAAATGCCTGTTAAGTTACTTAGCGGTAGGTGGTCATGATTTCTGAAATGCACTTTAAAATATTTCAGCATAAAAAAATGGCAAACTAAACCTACATTAAAAGAAGTCAAGCTTTTAAGAATATCTTATATAATGTTCAAAGATACAGCTTTCAAGGAAATAATAGACTTGGCATTAAAAAAAAAAAGATTCAGTAGACCTTGACAAGTAGAACTGTCTCATTCAATCAAAACTATTTCAACGGCTTGGGCTGTTTTCTCAATGAACCCAATAAAATCATTTGGTTTTACAATGGCTAATAATGAAACAATCATAATATTGTAAATGCACCTTAAGTGTTTTCAAATTTTAGAATAATTTATAAGCAGAGAAGACTCAATTATAGTTAAAATAACAAATTATCACACACTTACAATGTAACAATAACTAAATTAAAAGATGAAAAAGGAAGCTGGGTGATAGTTATGAGTATGTTAAACTCATCTCTTAAAACGGGGAGCAAATAGATGTTGTTTAAAGTTGATTAAATAAGAGATGTTATTTGAAGTTAAAATGGTAAATAGTAGGAGATCTAAAACACAAACTTAACAGTGGTTATCTCTCTGAGGGGTACAAAAGAAAGAATTTTACCCTTTTCCATCACGTTAATTTTTTGTAGGCCATGTATGTGTACTATTTTTAAAATCAGAAAATTATATGTTTATAATTTTAAAAAATCAAAGGTTGTATGTTAAAACATAAAATTATGTAACAATATACATAACATTTAAAGGACGAAACATAATATTCTGCCACCTGCTATTTTTATCAACACATATTTAGAGACCATTCATTGTTAGCACATATATCTCACTTCTTTTGTCAACTGTATAGCATTCCACTGTATATATGTATCATATTTTAGTTAGCTAGTTCCTATATAAAGGATGCTTTTATTAACTCATACAACATGTAATTACAATTAGTGTCTATTAGAGCAGATCCTGTTCTGGCATTGGAGACATAAAAGTGAACAAAGCAAAGTCCTTGACCTGAAGAAACTTACATTCCAATGGGGGGCAGGGATAGAGAAGGAGGAGTCAGACAAAAATAGTATTTTATAGCAGGTCAGCTGGTGATAAGACTAAGGAGAAAAACAAAGTAGGGCAGAGAAGCTAGATAATGTGTAGGGTGGGCAGGGAAAAGTTGCTATTTTATAGTGTAGTCAGGGTAGGCCTTTCAAATAGGGTAAATATAAGCAGAGACTAGAGAGAACTGAGGGAACAAGGCATGCTGGTATCAGGGGGAAATGGTGAGGTAAGTGCAAAGCCCCTGAGGTGAGCATACCAGACAGTATTTGAGGAAGCAAGGTAGCCAGTGTGGTGAGGAAGGGAGATGATAAGTAGTAAGTGATTATCAGGGTGGTGGGAAACAGACCATGCAGGGTCTTATGTGCCATTTTAGGCACGTGTGAGCAGGGAGTGGCATGACTGGACTTATGTTTCAATAGGATCGCTCTGATCTGTTCATAAAAAATTAAAAGGAAACAAAGGTAGAAGCAGGATCCAGTTAGGAATCTGTTGCCATCACCTCAGTGAGGAAAATGGCTTAGACTTGAATGGTGGTAGTGAAGGGGGTTGGAAGTGGTAGGATTCTGAACATATTTTGAAGGTAAAAGCAATGTGACTTACTGACGGGTTTTGAAATGGAGTAGTCAATGGAATTGTAATAGATATGTATGATATCAGCGGGGAGTGGAGCAGCGGATTGGGGCAGGGGGGTTGTCACTTTGAGGGGTAAAAAGCATAATTAATAATGTTGTAAATATTTTGTAGGGTGTCAGATGGTCTCATGTCTTGTTAGGGAGACTACTTCATGGATGGGGGGTAGAGGCTTGATCACTGCACTGTACACCTGAAGCTGATGTTGTATAATATTGTATGTCAACTATAAGTGACTATATAGTCACGGGACATGGAGTATTGTGTGGGAGTGGATTCAAGGGAATTGTAATAGATATGTATAATATGGGGGGGGGGCCAATTGGGGAGTAAAAAGTGTAACTATTGCATTGTGTTGTACACCTGAAACTAATTTAAAAAAAAAAGAAAGAAAAAAAAAAGAAAAAGAAATAGAGTATAACATAAAGAGAGGAGATGAGAATGACTCCAAGACTTTTAACTAATCAGGAGAGAGTTGACAATGACTGAGATGTGGAAGGCTGTGAGAGAAGTGGGATTGGAGTAGGGGGACAAAATCAAGAACTCTGTTTTAGACATGTTAAATTTGATATGCTTCTTAGACAATGAAGACAGGATGACTAGAGGCAACTGACTCCATAGGTCTGGAATTCAGGGCAGGGCTCTGGGCTCGGGATATAAATGTGGAAGTCCTCTGCATATGGGTGATAATTAGAGCAAAGAAACGAAATGAGATTCTGTGGAGAATAAAGGTAAACAAAAGAGTCTGAAGACTGAGTTCTGCGGCACTCCAGTGTTTAGAGATGTGGGAAATGGGGAAAACCCACAAGAGTGGAGGAGCCTGTGCTTGGAGTAGTGAATCATGCTGGGTAAGTTCTGAGAGCTGATCACTGGGTTTAGCAATGTGGAGGCCACAGGTATCCTCCTTCTAAGTTCCTCTGAAACACTGGTGGAGTGCAATTGCTTCCATTTTTGCAATTATAAACAATACAATAAACATCTTTGTGTAGTTTTACGGGAATGGAATTTTGGGTATATTTTGGACCTAAGGATATATAAACTTAACACTGAGCTGCTACAAATGACTACCAATTTATAGTCAGTACAGAGCTACATGTGTGTCTATCACCTACATTTAGAATTGCCAAGCTTATTATAATCCTTGCCCATTTGAAAGGTCAAAAATGTCATCATGTTTGATTCTGCATTTCTCTATGGCTGAAGTGAAGCATTTTTTCATGTTGTTAGTCCCTTGTCTTTTTTTCTATAAAACTGCCTGCCCATAGTCTCTGCTTATGTTTTTAGAAAACTGCTTGTCTTTGATTCACAACATTTGTTTTATATAATGTTAAGTCTTTTGCTTTTCTCTTACTTTATATTACTAAGCTTATATCCTGGCTGGAACTGCAAAAAGGCAGAGAAACAGAACTGTACCAAAGCACTTAGGCCTTTGGTTTTTACACTGTTCCCATGTTCTTTCTTCATATGTCATTTTCTTACTCTTCTGCCACCTCTCTTCCACGTGAGAACAATCTGGCTGTAGCAGCTGCCACCCACCCCTCTGACAGGCTGAGGTACTAGCTGATGGGACGGAGAAGGTGGTGGTCCTGCGTGTGCACGCACCCCAAGCCTGCGTGCCCATACCTTTTATGTGATGCTCACACTAGGGAAACGAGTTCTTGTTGCTCGAAATCCTGTGTATTTAACTATATGCCTGTCACATAGCTCAGTCAATATTTGTGGAATGAACAAAGGGAATGCCCCTCAAATGAAAGGAGGTAGTTTTTAAGTCAATAAAAGAACAAAAGGACAAATAACTCCAATTATCCAAGGTTTTGCCTGGAAAGGTTAGATCTAAGACGCAGATTGAACAAACATCAGCAAATAGTAAGCGAACAATGAAACATATACAAAAACAGAGAGACAGACAGACACCTTCTCTAAACTAACACTATAGAGAACTACTGCATTCTCATACAAACTAGTGCACACTGCCGCCAGGCCCACCCACAACATTATATTGGTCAGTTCTCCCATTTTATGCCATGCCTTTTTAGCCACCCAGGGACAAAATTGTACTGTTGATTCGCAAGACATTTCTCCCTTCCTCTGATGTTTAAAATATTCTGTAAATTATTTAAAAGTTGCATTATCTTTCTTGAGGGAAAGCAATAATAACTATAAGAAAGTGTTTCAAATAATGCACAATGATTCCCCATCTAATTATTGTTATTATTTCCTTTCTTTAAGACACCCACCATTTTCATTGCCTTTTTGAATACAATTACATGGGGATTAATGACTCACAATCCATACAGCCAATAAAGAGGAAACTTAGATTGCAACCGGAGAAAATGAACCAGTAAGAAGGAAAGAAATTTAAATCAACGGTGACTTTAGCTCTGAAAAGACACCGCTAAAAATGAAAATATAGGGCAATGGGGTGTTCTCCTGCTTTATATCGTCCTTGGCCACAAACAGGTACTTAGTAGGGCACAGAAACCAAGAAAAGTAGAAACTTTTGGGTCAAACTGTATTATAATTTGGCAAATAAAAGTGGAGACAAACTTTCATAATATTCAAGTTCTTGTTCTTCAAGGAGGGAGAAAGCAGCAAGCTGAAAAGAGCAAACAGGGAACCAAATATTCCTGGTAATAGCAGCCATACCACCACTCTGAAGAGGTGAGGGAAGGCAGTGTGTCGATCGTCAAATTCCACTGGTGGAAATGGCTGGTGAGCACGCTATGGAATCCTGCCTACATGCTCAGATTTTACTGACATGACTACTGCTATAAATAAGTGACGGCTGGGGTTTGGAGATTTTGATTTTAGTTATACAAGTACTTTGACTGTAATGGAATTTGATCTGCGTTTTCTTTACTTCTTTGCCAATCTGAGATTGTGTTTTCCTTCCCATGGTGGGCTCGGGCATTGAGAAAGCAGTTTCTCTCAGCTCCTTGCACCAAGGGAGCCTGAGAAAGAGCACACTCCTTTACAAATGCCACAGAGTTAGAAACATCATCATCATCTCGCTACCAAAATATTATAATTACTCCAGCTTTATCAAGGAGCTCCAGGGCAGCACGGGTCTGCGTCAGTTTAGCCTTAGTACTCACTGAAACAAAAGTGAAGCAGAGGCCAGCTCCCCTCTGCGCCAGCTGCTCTGTGTCAAGCCGGGGTTTTGCTAGCATCACTGACATCAGGGTTGGCAGGGCAGACTGCTCCTCCGACACCTCCTTCGCAACGCTGCCATCCAAACCATAGAGGGGCTGTTCTACTCGTCGCTGGAAAACATTAAAGAAAACACAAATTACATAAGAAGGAAATCTGATGCTGCCAAAACATGCAACAGATTAAAATAGTTAACGAATATAATAATGATTTTAAAAAAAAACAACCTCTGAAAACAAATATGGAGAGCATAATAACATTACCACTGGATTATAATCTATCTGTAAACCTGAGGTAATTTCTTACTCAAATTCCACAAAATTACATTTTAATGGTTCTATATTTACATAACTGAATTTTCAGGTTACTTTGTAGAGTTCAACAAATCAACTTCATAATACCCTCATTCCTACAAAGGAAATATTATTTCCATCCTGTAGATAAATAAAGATTAAGACATTTGTTCCCTACTTTATAGGTAGAGCTTACTTCACTCTCCATTCTATTGTTACCATAATATACATAATACACCAAAGAATAATATACCACAATTATGTATGATTTATTCCAGAAATGTAAGGATGGCTCATTATTACTAAATTTACTAATATAAATTGTTACATTAATGTTAGAAGGAAAAAAATAAAGATTCTTCCCTGAAGAATTTGGGAAAAAATAATTTGCACATTATTGGGCAACTTTAAAAACAAAACTGGAAAACAAACAAAAACTCATAGACACAGACAACAGTTTAGTGGTTACCAGAGGGAAAGGGGGGTAAGGGGAAAGATAGAAAAAGGTAAAAGGGGTCATATATACGGTTACGGAAAGAGATTTAACTTTGAGTCGTGAACACACAATGCAATATACAGATGATATATTATAGAACTGTACATTTGAAACCTATATAATTTTATTAACCAATGCAACCCCAATCAATTTAATAAAAAATAATGTCTGCCAATCCCCCCAAAAAACTGGAAGTATCCATCTTTATTATAACAAATATCTTTAATACAACAGATTATTTTTTCAGAAATTAAGATAAATGTAATTAATGGTGCTATACTAGAGAAACTTTCATTAAAGTTAGGAACTAGAAAGGGGTTAACACATTAATGTCACAATCAATCAACATTTTTATAGACATTTTGGTCAAGGTGATAAGAAAAAAATATGAGGTGTAAACACTGTAAAATAGTAAAGATTAAAAAGTGTCATTTTTGGATGATATAACTATTCACAAAGGAAACCAAGCAAATCAACTGAAAAACAAAAATAAGAGCTCAGTAAGATGGCCAAATATAAATATACAAAAATCAATAGCTTCCCCATAGTCCAACCACAACTGATTATAATTAGAACATGTAATGGAAGAAAAAGCAGAATCAAAATCTCAAAAAAATCTGTAAAATACTCAGAAGTAAACTTAAGAAATACAAAGAATACATAAAAAGAAAAACTACAGCTTCACTGACAGATATCAAAGATGAACTAAGTTAAATGGTGAAACCACACTCCTGGATTCAGATTTTATAGTTGTCAAATTTTTCTAAAAGCCAATGCTTAGGTCTTTTTATTTTTGGTTTTGTTTTTCTTTTCTTTTCTTTTTGTTTTTTTGCAAAAGAATGTTGTGGTGATAAGTGATCATCTAGGTTCCCTCTTGCTCTTTTTTGGGAGATTAATTTTGTTTAACTTCATAAATGAACTCTGAAAAATAATCAAAGTTTGCCATATCATTTTTGATAAAGAATATCAAGAAAACTAGACTAACTATTAAAACCTATACAAAGCAATACTAACTAAATCAGTATAATACTGATACAGGAGCAGATCGATCAGTGGCACAGAACAGAAAATTCAGAAAGAGACCCATATAATATGGACATATTTATATGGATATAAATCTTATAATTTATGATTAAAGTGCATTTCAAATTAATGAGACCTTATTAAAAAGATGATAGGATATTTACATAGGTATTAGAAGAAATGAAAAGTAGATTGCTTCCTTATATCATACACAAAAATTATAATATAAACAAATGCTTTTATGACTTTCTAGTGATGAGGGACTTTTTAAACATGACATTAAAAATACAAACCATATAGAAACATCTAAGAATAACACAAAGCCAATAAGTAATAAAGGAAAAAAAATTGGTTAATTTGACTACTTCAAATTTTTTAACTTCTGAATGGTGAAGGTCAACATAAAGTTAAATGACAAAGTTACAAACAGGCGAAAGTATTTGCAATACAAATAATGAGTTAACAATCTTGATAAATAATGTGCTCCTACCCATCAGTAAGAAAAAAACAAATACTCCAATAAATAAATAGGCAAAGGACCTGGGCAAGCATTAAAAGAGAAATCCAAAGGCCATTTAAACATATGAAGAAATGTTTAATATCAGTAATGAAGAAATGCAATTTAAACAAGGCAGTTTTCTCACTGGCAAAGATTACAATGACAAAATTCAGTATTGGAAGGGTATGTAGAAACTGAGACTCTCAAGCTGCTGATAATCACTTAGCAATTATGTAATGACATTTTAAAGTGAGCATATTCTTTGGGAATTATACTTTGGAAATTTAGCCAAAGGAAAAAAAATCGTGTAAGTACAAATGTATATATACAAGGACTTTCATTACAGCACTATTTATAGAACATAAAATGTTTATAGGATATTAGTTAAATAAATTAATTACAACCGAAATAAGAAAATCTATCATATGAACATACATGTATACATATATGGCCACTGAACTCTTTGATAATAGTGATTTTGGAGAGGATTTCTATTTTACCATTTCTGAATTGTTAGACTTTCAAAATATGTATGTATCCCTTTATCAGGAAAAACTAACATTTTCATTTTAGGAAATAAAAATAAAATAATCAAAATGATTCTGAAAAAAATATCTGTGAGTAGAGTCCACCTCCTTAAAACCAACACTCTTACCCTCACCAAACACAATGGTTTAAATTCAGAATCCAGAATACTTGCGATACCCATTCATAACAATATTCTCACTACTTGGGAGACTGTAGCTCTAAAGCTGCAAGGCTCAAATTAATCACTCTGTTATGTATTTAATAAATATTTGCCAAGAGCTGATATATTTAAAAATATATTTAGAAACAGAGCAGGTTAGGATGATTGAACCAACATTCCCTTAGAAAACAAGAAAAAATACCAAAAAAAAAAAAAAAAAGATATTAAAAGCATCAAAGAGTTAAGAAAATAGTAGGGACCAGCCAGGGCAAAACCTAAGGGAAATTAGGAACACAAGACAGGTAAAAAAAGTATCAAAACCGCATTTGCCCTAAGGGAACCTACAGATCTTGAATTTTCATTTCCAGGGCATCATAGTACCAAGCACACAAGTCAGAGGCCAAAGCCCATCCTGGGTCAATAGGAAAACTTTCCCACTGCAAGCTGGGCTTCCAAAGGGCTACACACTTTCAGAGAAAATGTAAACCAGAAGAAAAATATTTCCCACCCTCAGGGAGCTGCAAAGAAGTTGCTTTGACAATGAGGGGGTGGGGCTCCCCTGAGAAATGTTAACATAATTCAAATTAATATTGCCTGGGTGGTTGAAACGAACAAAATAAGTAAAACAAACAAAATGCAAGCCATGAATTCAGTAGTTTAAAGTAGTGTTAGATTGGTAGACTCTCTAGGCACTTGGAAAAAGCAAATAAAAATTCTCTCTGGAGGAATACATTTTTATCCTAGATCTCAAAGAAATTTTACAAATAATTTTTTAATAACAATGAGCAGCACACTGTTGAAGAAGAGGAAGAGGAGGAAGAGGAGGAAGAGGAGGAGGAGGAGGAGGAGGAGGAGGAGAAGCAGCAGCAGCAGCAGCAGCATAAAGAAATAAAACCCTGAGAAACAACTAGGAAAAACAAGAGACAGCAGAAACAGATGTAAAAAAAAAAATTCAAATACCGGAATTATTATCAGACACAGATTATAAAAAAAAAGCTATTTCTACTAGATTAAAAAAAAAAAAGACATGCTTGAAAATATCTGCAGGGAAATAAATACAATAAAAAAACTTAAGAATTCAATGGGGTTAGGGCCAGCCGAGTGGCTCAGTTGGTTAAAAGCTCGCTCTAAGAGTTTGAGCTCTGAGCAACAGCGGTTCGATGCCTGGCCTGAGCTGAGCTGCCAACAAGTGGCAGGATGGCTCAGCTAAAAAAAAAAATAAAAACAAAAAAACAAACAAAAAAAAGAATTCAATGGGGTTAACAGCAAATCAGACACAACAAAAGAGAAAATTTGAGAACTGAAAGGCAAGAAAGTATCAAGAATGTAGCATACAGAAACCAAAAGAAGCTAAAGGCATGGTGATAAAGTGAGACAGTCTAAACATATGGTTAATTAGAATTTCATAGGAGGAAGAAAAAGAGAACAGGACAGAGATAATATTTGAAGAGACAACAGATAATAATTTTCCAGAAATGTTGCAAGGCACCAACCCACAGATACCAGGAGCCCAACAAATCACAAGCAAGGGAAATAAAAGGATGCATCATAGTGAAACTGAACCCCCACCCCCCAACCCACACACACACAGATAAAGATTTCAAAAACAGCCGGTGGGGAGCAGATACTTTCAAAGAAATAAGTACAGAAAAGCTGTTTCTTCAGTAGTAACAATGGGAGCCAGAAAATGATAGTGAGACACTCAATTGTTAAAAGAAAAAAGTGCCAATATAGAAACACACACAGCAAAAACCTCTTTCAAGAATAAGGGAAAAATAAAGGTATTTAAGCCAACAAAAACCTAGAGAGTTAACCCTCAGCAGACACACACTAAATGAATAATAAAGGAGTACTTCAGTCAGAAGGAAAAGACTGGAGGTGGGAAGATGCCAAAATGAAAGAAGTATAAAGAAAGAGGTAAGCACATAGATAACTCTAAATGAATAGTGACAGTATAAAATAATAATGTTTTGAGGCTAAAAAAATAAAAAGGCAAGACACAAACATACAGTACTAGCACCAAGTCAACAACAGGTATATTGAGTTAATGTTCTGAGGTCCTCATTTGTTTGGGAGGAGGGTAAAGTTACTAGTAATATCAAACTTTGTCATGT